CTCTCACACACACACACACACACACACACACACATGCACATGCACACATACGCACGCACATGCACACAAATACCGCCTCTGTTAATCAACGGGCCACCCCAGGCATGTTCTATTGGGGCGAGCGCGACGGCCTTGACCTGGGCATGCGGCGCGCCGAGGCGTTCAGCGTGCTGGTCGGATCCCAGGTGCGACACATGACTCACATTAATCAAAAAGGCGCACCGATTGCGGCGCGTTCCAGCATCACGCCGCCACGCGGGCCGCGGAAGCTCCCCGGCCCCTGCGGCCTGCAAACGGCGCAACCTGCGTGCCGGGGCTGGCGCGTCTGGCGGGCCGCCGTACTGCTGCTCGGCAGCCTGCGGTTCTCAGGGAACCCTGCCGCACCTTTCATACCCCTGCGCACGCCTCGACCCTTCAAGCTTCCAGAAAAAGTTGAAGCCTGCACCTTCTTGGCTCTTTCTTTCGACCCCCCTCCCTTCTGAACGTAGTCTCGACGCCCGCGCACGCCCCGATGCGCTCCCTCCGTCCGCGCCCTCGTTGACCCTGCCTCGACCTCCCTTGACCCCCAGGTGGCCTATTTCGTCAACTGCCGCTTCCTCAAGGCGTCCACGCTCCACCCCCGCGTGCTGCACGGCAACCGCATCGCCTACGCGTCCATATTCTCTACCCTCGCCCTTGTGGTGAGTAAGATGGGGGGCAGCCGTGGCGCCAAGCGGGGGCTGCTCACTCCAGGTTGTGGTAGCAGATGTGAGATGCGGCTGGGGATCTAGGATGTTCGCAAGCTGACGCACGATCCACGTGGCCGCGTGCGCGTGCGCTTTTTCTCACCTGCATCCCCCGCACCTTCACTCGCTGCACTTGACCCAGAACCCTCGCCCCATTGCACACACCCCTCAAACCCTCGTCGCCTGCACTTACCACCCCAACCGCCCCAACCACCCCACCCCCTCCCCCTGCCAGGTCTTCCTGGTCTACACCCCGGGCGTCAACGCCTTCTTCCACCAGGCCCCCATGAACGGCATCCAGTGGGCGCGCACCATCTGCTGCATCGCCGCAGTCTACCTGATCGTGGAAGCTGAAAAGGCGGCCGTGGATCCCATCGTGATGCCCGTGCTGCGCCCCGCCATGTCTTGGATGGAGGCGCGCGTCCCGTCCTGGCTGTCCTTTGATTGGTCCCCCGAGCGCGCGCGCCGCGCGGCCGCGGCGCTGTGCGCGGCCCCGAAGGTCAAGACGGGCCCGCTGCACCGGCGCAGCGCCGTGCGGCGCGTGGCGAGGGGCGGGAGCTTCCTGGCGGCCGGGCCGGGGGGGGCGCCGGCGCCGGCGCCGAGGGGCGGCGCGGTGGGGGAGGAGGCGGCGTGAGCGATCCGGTACTCCCTGCTTCGGCGGACCATGATTGAGAAAACGGCTCTCCTTGATCATCCTTGCTTCACGGAGATTTGCGTGCGGGCCCCGTCGGTCCCTTTGTCTGGGCAAACGGAGAGCCTGGCTGCCTCCTCACCTTCCGTCTGTCGTGTCTACTAAGACGCATCCACTGTGGGCACGAGGAGGGGGTTGCCTGTGAAGGCTGTGAAACGAGCCACGCATGCCCTGCTTGGCGGGCGCGCCTGCCCGCATCGCCACACCTGGCGGCGCCAGACGCTCGCTTCACGAGCGCTAGAAACCACGACACTGTCGCACCCGCTTTGCAGTTGTTATCGGCCTCCATAGGCATGCACGAGAGATTAATGGGGGTGCGGCCCCGCGATCCGCAGGCGTTGCGCCTCACAAGGCTTCCGAGGCGCGAAATGGTGGTGGCCGCAATGAAGGCGCCCGAGCCGCCTTGTTTGTGGGCCTGCAAGAGCATACCCTCGGGAATCGCGACGCGAGTTTGCTACCAAGAGCATGTTCCTCGTCTTGGCTCTCTCGACCCCCTCTGCTGACTCAACAGTGGCTGAGAGGGCTCCTTTTGACAAGATCTCGCAGCCCCGCCTGGAGGCTTCATCAATTCGAACTGGCCTTTGTTAGACCCCACTTTTCTGCAACGCACCGCCACTTGCTGCTCGCGCTAGCGCCGCCCGTGTGGCGCTGACGCGCTTGCGGCCGCTCCACTGCCTGCAAGCACACTCGATCACCCACCAAACTCCGGCGACTTTCGAAACCTTCGCCTCTTCCTGAATGTTGGTCCTACGGGCAGCACTTGCTTCAGCTCATTACGCCTGGGCTTCCTCGTTTGCCCTTGCATCGCCTTGCTGTTGCCCACCCCAGCTGCTTTGCCTCCCTATCTGCTGCATTGTCCACTTGGTCCTGGCCTTGTACTGTAATCCATCTCCTCTGCTTTGTGCCAGAGCAGCCTTGCACGCTTGATGTGTTGGCTCTTGACATTACATAGCTCGGTGAGCTATTCCTGGCAAGCAAAAGGAAGCAGGGGAACGCTCTACATATGTTGCTACTGGCGGCATTGCTGCGGAAAGCTGTGCGATAACACACAGCGCCTTGGCCATTCTTGACTGCCCTGGTTGTGCAGATGATTTTGAGGTCAAGCCAGCCGCCCTGGTCAGCCGGTCAAACCGGTCAAAGCCAGCATCGGAAAGGCAGGCGACAGTGCTTTGGGCAGCAGTGTTGTGCGGGCGCACGCCTCCTCAGAGCCCCCCATTCCCAGATGTGACTCTACGTGCAATCGGCGCAGGATGCGCTGCCGTCGCCATCTATCGATGTACTTATGTCCACCAACGCGAACCCCACATGTGAGGCCAGGAGTATGTCCACGCAAACATTTGCGCAAAACTAAAGGCACAAGGTGGAGTGAAACGCGGAGAGACGAAGTTGCATTCACAAAAACAACCGGGGCCAGCGCAGCACGGCCGGGACGACGCTTTGGCGGCCGCAAGATTGGATTGGATTTGAGAAAAGGCGGGCCTGGTTGGATTTCAGAAAGGGGTGGGTGTGTGGGCGTTCATGCGGGCGCTCGGTCGGCCTGGGCCGCCCGGCAGTGGGTGGGCCGCCCAGCAGTGAGTGCGCCGCACGGCAGTGGGTGCAATAAGTGCAACAGGGGGGGGGGGGGCACAAGGAGCAGGGCGGCTGCTTGCGTGTGGGAGCGGCCGCAACGAGGGCGGACGGGGCCGCGGCTTGCGCCAGACCAAAGCGCGGCGACCAACGGGCGCCAGAGGCCGCGCCGCCTCGGACAGGCTGACGGCCATGGCAGGGATGAGGGTTCTGGGGGGGGGGCCGCCGCGCCCGGGGGCGGGCGTGGCAGCAGACACTGGGTTGCGTTTCCAAAATGGGGGACTGTGTGGAGCGGACGCGACGCCGCGCCGCGCGGCGCCGCATCAAATCGAATCAAGATGGCGGGCCGGGGGCTGCACCTGCGGACTTCGACTTGCGGGCGGCGGCGTTCGAAGTCTAGAGTGCGGGGCGCCGTAGGCGGGTGTTGGGTTGAGGGCGCCGTGCAGGGGCGCTTTCCGTGGGCGCAGCCGCGGGGGCAACAAACAGCAGCCGGGAAGCGCTCGGCCGGCGAGCGCGGCGGGAGCACCGCACGCAAAGCCCTGCGCAGTTCCTGAGCCGAGGCGCCGGGTCCCAACGGCGAGGGCGGCAAGTGACGGGTCCCTCCGCCACCCCTGTCATGAGGCAAGCGCTGTGCGTGCGGCTCGCGCTGAGCGCCGCACACTGGCACACCCGCCGGTTGCGTGATGAAAACGTGAGAGGAAGCAGAGTGCACAGCATACCCCGACACGCCAGGCTGGGTGGCGACAAGGGCGCGCCGTCTCCAAGGGAGGGGTGGGTCGCGCGGCAAAGAGCCTCATGGGAGCGCGCAGGGCTCTGCCTCTCCGCAGACCCAGAGACACGGCTGAGGGTGTGCGGGGCGGGGGTGTGGGGTGGAGGGGCGGGCGCCCCAGCTGGCCGGGCCGAGTCGTCGTTGGCCAAGTTCACGCCTTGTGGGACCGCGCGCCGCCAAAAGGGGAGAGCGCGCCAGGGCCGCCGGCGCGGGCGGGCGCGCTCCACTGGCCCGGGGCGGGCGGCAGTCGTGGTCAGAAGGCTCCAGGGGGCGCGCAAGCCGCCCCTGCGCCCCGCGGGCGCGCGTGCGGGCGCAGCGGGGGCCGCGGGGGTGCTGTGATAGTATGCCGGCTTGCGCTGAAATGGGTCAAGATCATATCTGAAGATCTCTGACGATCTATATTAGAACCAGAACGTGGGGTAGGACCTGCGGAAAGGGGGGGGGGTGAAAACTGGTTGGGTTGGTTGAGGGTGGGCGCGCCCCATGGGGCACCAATGTTTGGAGGCACTGGCAGCGGGGCGGGTGGCGGGCCGCCCCGCGGCCGTGCGGGGGGGGCCTGTCGCTGCGCGCGGGAGCCGCGTGCTGGGGAGGGGGGTTGGCATCGCCGCTCCATCAACAGTGCTCGAGTCATGCAATCACATGCTGCGCTTTCCTGTCACGATTGAAATCACGCACGCACGCGTGCACGCAC